GACAGCAAGTCTGTCCATCGAAGGTCCAACAGGGAAGTTAGAAGGGTGGGGGCAGGTTCCACTTTTACTCAAAACACCAAGATCTGTATATAATTCCAGATCTACTGATTTCTTTTATGTACAGCTTTTACCGAAGGTAACTACCATATTATGGGATGGCATATTGTCACAGGTGTACCTCAAAGGTCAGATTCAGGTATAAAATATCTCAGCATTCACAGTAAAGATGTCACACAAACAAGGTTTCTTGTATGATGCAATGGGGTTGATTTACTAAAACTGGAGAGCGCAAAATCATGTGCAGCTCTACATAGAAATCAGCTTCCAGGTTTTATTGTCAAACCTTAAAATGGTAGCAAAGTCTTTTGTTTAAAGCGGAGCTCCACCCAAAAGGGGAAGTTCCGCTTTAACCACCTCCCATCCGGCCGTTGTATATAAACGGCCAGACGGTGGCAGTGCAGGATTTATAAACGACCTCCCCGCACCCTGCTTGTGCGCGCTCCCTGGGAGCGCGCAGCGCCGCGATCCGGTGCCCGCCGAGTCCTCCGGACACAGTGGAACACCGATTGCTGGATGGGACCTCTGTGTCATTTTGACATCATTGCTTACTAAGTGTGAAATCTGTAAATGATCAGAGGTCACATAGTACAAGGCTATTCACAACAGCTTTGTACCATGTGACAAGCTATGACCAATCACAGCTCACTCAGTAGTTCTCAATGGCTGCAAGAATGCAGCTAGAGAGAAGGAGAAATGATTGCTTTTACAGCCTTTATGGGTGTAAAAGCAATCAGTGTAAAAAAAAAAAAAAAATGTTCATCACCCCCCACAAGTAGTACAGTGTCACCATGGTGACACTGTACTGCTAGGTTGACAGTATGTAGAAAAAAAAAAACATAAATAATAATATAAAAAAAAAAAAAGTAAAACAAAATGGTTAGAAACTAATTTGGGTTATTTTTTTTTTTACTAAAAAGATAATGGAATAAATTTTGACCAAGATTTATGATAAAATACTATTTATTTGCAAAATTCTATAAGAAAAAACACTTTTTTTCAAAATTTTGGGACTTTTTCATTTACATAGCAAAAAAAAAAAAAAATCCCAGTGGTGAATAAATACCATCAAAATAAAGCTTTATCTGTCTCAAAAAAATTCTAAAAAATTCATATGGGTACAGTGGTGCATGACCGCGCAATTGTCATTCAAAGTGTGACAGCACTGAAAGCTGAAAATTGGCCTGGACAGGAAGAGGGTAAAAGTGTCCGGACTGGAAGTGGTTAAGGACTGCTCCTCCGCTCCCCATTAAGGATTGGCACCTTTGGGGGGTGGGGGGGAGCGGGTACCCAAATTCGACAGGTACCCGCTCCCACTTCTGGTCCGATCGCCTGGGCAATCGGAAATGGAAGGTGTCCTCCCTCCCTGTAGTTTTTTGGGACACGTGACAGGTCCCAGAAGACTACAGGACTATTCATGAAGTGCAGCGCTACTCGCGCATGCGCAGTGGGTACCCGGATGTGAAGCCGCAAGCAATCACAGCCGGGTGCCCACACTGAAGGTGAAACGGGCTGTGGAGGACACACTACAGGATCGAGGGACAGGTATATGGCTGTTTTTTAAAAGTCAGCAGCTACAGTTTTTGTAGCTGCTGAGTTTTATTTTTTGACAGGGTGAGTGGAACTCCGCTTTCAACTGACAGTGCTCCACCGCAAATCCGCAAATAGAAATTAGGTGGAGGGGCACTTGTTTCTTTTTGCGGTGGAGCACTGTCAGTTGAAGTTGTGGAGCAACACTATTTATATGATTTTGTATGTACTGAATGTGGGATCACTTTTAAGTGTTATTGCAGCATCTCATTTATTTTATTTCATTCTTGCGATAGCACACATTGTTTTTCTTTAGCATTTCTCCACCAACTAAACCCACCACCCCGGCCCCCGCCATCGCCATTCTCCGCCAATCACCCCCCTTCTACCATCCCGCTTGCAGAGAGAGTTAGTCAAGCAATAACCTTAACTTCTGCAGAAAGCAGCCGGCTGTCATTGGGGCCAAGCCCTGTGTCTTCCTTGTGTGGGAAGCTTACACCCTCCAGCAGCATGCAGCCTCCTCTAATTCCTTGGTAGAGCCTCACCAGGTCCCCATCCCTGCCACATGTGCCCATTCTTCCAGGGGGTGGCGCTGCCCCCCTGAAAATTGTCGCCCTAGTTTGCCTTGTGGTAAATACGCCGCTGCCTACAGGTAAGCCTATAATAAAGCTTACCTGTAGCTACTGTGAATATCTCCTAAACTTACACTGTTTAAGAGATATTCACACGGCATGCAGCCAGTGAAGTCACCGGCGCATGCACTCTAAAGGAATGGCATAGCCATTCCGGACCTTCAGAGCCCATGCTGCAGCTAAAGGCTCCAGCGTAAATGCGCAGGAGTGACGCCATCGCGGCTCCAGCCATTCATATGGCTGGAGCCCACGAACCTGGAAGAATGACCGAGTGAAGATGGCATCACTGGGGAGCCGTCACAGCACCGTGCTGGAGGGCTCCATGTAAAGTCTATCATAATGTACTAGTGCGGTGCATACTAGTACATTATCACCTAAACATACAGGGGCCCACTGTTTTTTTTTTTTCTCCTGGCTGTTTACTACCACTTTAAATGAACAAGCTGAGGTTTGAAGCTGATTGGCTACCATGCAGATCTGCACCAGATTCTGAGTGCTTCAGTTTTAGTAAATCTACCCCCCACCCCCACCACCACAGTTAGTAATTCTAACATGAGACAAAACGTTTGGTTGCTAAATACCTAGAGAATACAAGAACCTACAAGCACAGCTCCACTCTACATTCTGGTAACATAGGTAAGAGCAAATTAATTGTAAGATCACAAAATGAAATATAATTATTTCTTTTTAAGTTTATATTTGCAGACAACCAACAATCTCATTTATTAAAAAACATTGATTGAAAAATGTCAACTATATTTTCTTTCTATAGAATTACTATACAATTTACACTTTGAAGTCCTTCCTCTCTGAAGAAGTCAATTTGAACCAATAAAGGCAGTTGAGTGTAGGTGCATCCTAAGGAGTATTAAAATACGAGGGGCGTTCACATCAAACCAGAACTTTTAAGTCTACAGGTATAAAAAAAGGGATGCTAGTGTGGTACTACACACAGTAGTAAGTGGCAAGAGTGTCCTATTACTGATAGGCAGATCAAAATGCAGTTTTTCCAACATACACATTCCTGTAAGTGGCTGTAAATGGTGTTTGGGTGCTATAGTGACCGTGGGCTGGGAACCGCAGACAATCCAGAAAGAAAAATGTCACCAGCACACCAAGAATCCTCAAAAGGGTCCAAAGCTTTATTTAGTGGTCACATAGGGGTTTATTTACTAAAGCTGGAGAGTACAAAATCAGACTCCCTTCTGCATAGAAACCAATCAGCTTCTAACCTCAGCTTGTTCAATGAAGCTTTGGCAATGAAACCTGGAAGCTGATTGGTTTCTATGCAGAAATGAGTCTGATTTTGGACTCTCCAGCTTTAGTAAATAAACCCCATAATATCAACAGTGGCAATGTTTCGGAGTCACGCAAGGCCCCTCCATCAGGCAAGTGTTGACTTGCCTGACAAAGGGGCCCTGCATGGATCCAAAAAGCTGCCGCTGTTGATATTATGTGACCACTAAATAAAGCTTTGGACCCTTTTGAGGATTCTTGGTGTGCTGGTGACATTTTTCTTTCTTTATTACTGATAGGTGGAGTACATGTTGCGGGCCAGTCCAGAGTCCAGGATGGCAGACAACAGTGTTAGTGTGTGCATGAAACAGCGTATGGTGATGAAATTTCTTGTGAACGAAGGTGTAAATCCCACAGATTTCTAAAGAAGGCTTCAGACGCTTAGCCAAAGTAAGTAATTTGAATGGTGTAAAGTTTCAAAGATGGCGGTACGTCCATCAGTGATGATCCCGGCCGTGGTGGTTCCCAGCCCACAGCAGTCATTCCTGTGAACATTAAGTGTATGGCATGCCTGATCCTGGATAATTGGCACATAACGCATAAACTATTGTGAAATTGCACAAGAGAAGAATTTCAACACTGATGATGAAGTGAAGCAGGCTGTCCTAGGATGGTTGAGGCATATTGACAAATATTTCTACGCCAAAGCTTTCCAGGCATTAGTTAAATGCTGGGATAAGTGTATAAATGTAGCAGGGGAATATGTTGAAAAATAAAAGCAGTTTCCACTCCTTGAAATTTGTTCTTTTATTATATAAACCCAAAAGTCCCAGTTTGACTTAAACACCCCTAGTAGTATGTTACAGGTGGAGCCTAGTGGGCTGATTCAGACTCTGGCTTCTTTTACAAATGTCCTGGAACAGCCTTTCTCAACCTTTTTACCTTGTTCCCCAGAAGAACCCTTAAAATTATGGATGTTTCCGGGAACCCCAGCTAAAACCAATTAATTTCAGTCCACTGGGAAACTGCCCTTACAGTGGTGGTCAGTAAGAATACTGCAACCCTTCCAGTGGTGGTCATAAAGCCATCCTTACAGACAGCCAAAAGAGATCACTGGTGTCATACTGTTGGCCTTGCCAAGTGACGCTGGCCCTGGGACTATGCAGGCACCATTAAATGGGAGGTCAATCAGCCACACTCAAGGAACCCCTGTAATCACTGGAGGAACCCTAGTGTACCTCAGAACCATGGTTGGGAATTGCTGTCTTAGATACTTCAACAGTAATGTCTCCCTGTTGTAGTTCCTGACTTTCCATCACATTCTATTGAATTCTTCATAATATAAAATAAAACTACCAACAGGGCCCCCTCACATGCGGAGCACAAAGATTTTACCAATAAAGAGCCAAAATATAAGAACTTATCAGGAAGTTTAACTTTTCAACATGTATTCTACATACATGCACTTTACTAACTTGTGATAATCAATGGAAACACACTCTGCATAGTTCAACTCAATGCATTCTTTCCAAACCAGTGGCTCAGATATGTTGTATGGGTAAAAACAACATGTGAAACACACAATCATTTAAAGTAGATCTAAACTTAAATATTGAACCTTTGCTATGTTACAGGGGACCAGGGGTGGACTGAAAACTCATGGGGCCCCCGGGCAATAGGGGATCATGGGGCCCCTGTGTCCTTGCCAAACTCAAAAAAGCCTATGAAAAAGGTAACAGGGGCATCTCATGGGGCCCCCTACTGACCCGGGCCCTCGGGCAGTGCCCGAGTTTCCAAATGGTCAGTCCGCCCCTGCAGGGGACATTTGAAATGTTAATTGTGCATAGGTAGCACCCTGAAAAACTGATTCTTTGTCTTAAATTCCTCGTGAAATACATCAGTGCATTTCCTAATATTTGAGGGTGCCTAGACACTGCTGTGCCTACAGCCTAATAGCTGTATATCCATAGTGTTAGAGGCATTGCTTCCTCTAAATTCCAGTTTTAGGAGATTTGGAGTGAGATATGGTGATGTACCTACTGTGTTCCTCACTATTCTCCTTGCTAGACACTCCAACATGAGGAAGCAAAGTCCTGCCTGTACCAAGGTGGCTGCCTCCACTCAGAGACACAGTGCAGAACAAGGTATGGTAAGCGAACATTTGCTGTGTTACAGGGAACACTTAAAAATGTAGTACCCAGAAAAATTGACCTTTTCTCTTGAGTTCCTCCTTAAAAATTACAGTACACTTCTTAGTATGTGAGGGTTCCCAAGCAGTCCTGTGCTTACAGACTAATAGCTGTACACTCACCGGCCACTTTATTACGTACACCTGTTCAACTGCTTGGTAACACAAATTGCTAATCATCCAATCACATGGCAGCAACTAGATGTGGTGAAGACGACTTGCTGAAGTTCAAACCGAGCATCAGAATGGGGTAGAAAGAGGATTTAAGTAACTTTGTTGGTTGTTGGTGCCAGACGGGCTGGTCTGAGTATTTCAAAAACTGCTGCTATACTGGGATTTTCATGCACAACCATCTCTAGAGTTTAGAGAATGGTCCGAAAACGAGAAAAAACCTCTTGAGCAGCAGTTGTGTGGACAAAAATGCCTTGTTGATGTCGGAGGTCAGAGGAGAATGGGCAGACTGGTTCGGGATGACAGAAAGGCAACAGTAACTCATGTCAATATGGACCAAACTCTCTGAGGAATGTTTTCAACACTTTGTTGAATCTATGCCACGAAGAATTAATACAGTTCTGAAGGCAAAAGGGAGTCCAACCCGGGACTAGCAAGGTGTACCTAATAAAGCGACCAGTGAGTATATATCTGTCCAAGATGGCCACGTCCACTCACAGCACAAACCAAAGAACGATAAGTCATTAATGGGAAAGGATCAGCTGCAAGAGGCCTAGGGACAACACTCCCTTGATTTGATTGTCAGCTGTAATGAGCAGGCCCTCCTAACCCTCTTGCATTGAACTGTAATTTACAGTAACTGTACTGTCTCCCTTTAAATTGTAAAGTACTGTACAAACTGTTGGCACTATATAAATTCTGTATAATAATAAAAATACTGGCAAGTAGTTATTTGTCTTTATTTGGGCACAGCTTCCAGAGTTCCGTTCATCCTCAACTTTCATATGCACATATCCTAATGGTTCCAGGTACTGCAAATTTTGGGAAATCGTGTAAAAGATAAACCAGAGACACACATCTACAGTACACTGAAGGTGGTGGGTGGGCAAGAGACACAGAGTGGCCACAACTCCACGAAGAGAGACATAGGCATAGAGGCCTCTCCAAGGTGGGGAGTGGGCAAAATATTTAGAGCAGCCATGGCCTTAGACTGACACTAGTGTGGGTCTTAGCAAAGCAAACAGGCTGTCCCGAATGGAGGAAGACATTAACACTGCATAAATAGAGATTCTCTGAGAGTGGTGAGCAGGGAGATGCTAGAAGGGCAGACACTTGGTAGGTACGAACAGCAGTTCATTTGGCATGACTGGAAGAAGGTGTTAAGCAGCTCCAACAGAATACGCAGCCCTGGAGTTCCCTAAACCTCTCTCCTTGGCTATTATCAGTTTTATAATAAAACATATCTATCATACACATTCTAAATAACAGGCATTCTCAGATAGGGTTCCGTGGAGGCCTAGGGTTCCCCCAGACGATGCTAGGGTTTCTTGAGTAAGAAGCAATTTTTACCCTCAGGGTTGTTGGTTAGAATCACAACCACAGCACCACCTGCCTGGAGTTTGCATGTTCTCCCTGTGCCTGCGTGGATTTCCTCCGGGTACTCTGATTTCCTCCCAGACTCAATAGACATGCTGGTAGGTTAACTGCCTCCTGTCTAAATTGTCCCTAGTATGTGTATGTATGAATGTGAGTTAGGGACCTTAGATTGTACACCCCTTGAGGGCAATGACTGATGTGAATGTGCAATTTATATGTAAAGCACTTTGTAAATTGATGGCGCTATATAAGTACCTGTAATATTAGTAAGTAACCACTGACACCATTGATCTATCTGCAAGGGGAGGGAGAGATTCTTCCCAATGACCACAAATATAAAGAATATTCCCCTCAGTGAACATAACACTGATGTAACATGAGCTTTAGATACAGCAATTATTAGCAGCGGTTCCCTGAGACTGAATAGTTATTTCAAGGGTTCCTCCATATTAAAAAGGTTGAGAAAGGCAGCTGTATACAGTATCTGCAATAAGGGTGTAATTGCCTTTGAGTTTGACATGCCTGGATTTGATCACACGACAAACAGTATAAGCAGAGAGGTTACTGAAAGAAAATGTATTCTAATGGACTACTGAATGGGTGTTGGAAGCAGATATATGATTACTTATATATAATAAATAACCTCTAGGGTGTCAACAATCACTTTACTACCCAATCTTGGATATCTTCCTTTTTTTAGTACAATTCTGGGAGTGACCATGTGAATATAGTAGGCAGAAACATGCTTCTTCTGAAACAGAGGCTGTGTAGGCTTGTTCTGAAACAGGTTTGGGCCACCACGCTTGTAAAGATCTGAAAGGAGTGGCATCCTCTTTTGGACATCACACCCAACATAAAGAAGTTTGACACTTTTTCAGTGAAAGCAATGCAGAAAACCATTGAAAATAATTGAATATGAATTACTAAACCTGAAGGATATTTATATAAATGTAGGAAATGCTACATAGTGCTTCTCTGTTTCCATGGACAAGAGGCAATAAAGTCAAATCAGAAGATGAGATTAAGCCAATCATACCATAAAAGCTGAATAATAGTACCAAGTTCTCCACCTCCCAGGTGCCAACCCTATGTGCCTAGACACCCAGTTGGGTGAGTTTCAGAATCCTAGATTAGTAGATGTATGAAATGAAGTATGTTTTATTGGGAACTGCATATTTTGGGATCCAAACCAATGTGACACTGACACTTGAGATCCCAAAAATGTAAGTATGACACCTGGAACCACAGGATGAAACAAGGCACCTCTGGTTTCAATAATACAAATGCACATATGTATAGTTCTGTCCTTCAATTGAACAATATTACAATCACAGTAGTGAACAACTGATGGCCGGCATATGACAATATAATCAACGGCTCTGTAATGTAGATGTATGACCGGTCAGCACATATCTAATGTAAATGTGTAGATAGAATAATGCATGTTGCGTGCTCATACTTACTTGACAATGCCCTGCCTCCAAAGGAAAGCAGATTAAAACACAATACAAATATTAACCGTTTCTTCCTCATCGTTAGATTTCACAGCATTGCCGCACACTAGTCTAAGTATACAGAAGAAAGCCAAACAGGAGAGCAGCTCATTTTCATAATTTATATCAATTATTCAGTTATCCATACAACCAAACAAATGTCATTATGGTTTCTAATTGGATGTTTATGGATAGGAGTCCTCTTCTACCTGCCTTATTAAATACAGCTGATTTAACAAGGTAGATAAGACTTTCAGCAACCCACAGCAGCCAATTAGCTTGCATCATACATCATTCTAGAGCTTTTAGAACAATGACAATGTTTTATTGGCTGCTGTGGGCTACTACACATTGCTCATGTCTTAACAAGTAAATTCTATAAATTGAATATCATAGATAAAAGTACAAAGTCATTTGCATTGTACTTACATAATCATCATTTTTATTTATCATCTCCTGTGTAGCTTTTATTGTTTTGCATTCAACTATGTCATGACCTGAAGCAATCATCAGTTCCTCGTATCTACATAACATGTGTTCACCGCTTGTACGACCAAAAACTTTTTTGATATTAATATAAAGCTCAATGTTTTGTTTTTTTTTTTTAACTTAACATGCATGAAGCTTGGGAAGATGAGTGAGACACCATACCCATAAGCTGGGGGTTTAGTGCACACTCAGCTCCAATCCATGGGCAGAGATGTTGGGCCAGGAACAGTGCAATGACCTTGCAGAGCTTTCAGACTCGGGGCAGGGGGTGTATAACCATGGCATATATTCGCATATCCAGAGACGCAAGCATTGGTTTTGTTGTGGCCTGCTTACACTCTCAGTTTCAACAAGACCAAAAGATAAGTGTTTATTAGTAATTATCCCTCGTAGATTGTAAGCTCGAAAGAGCAGGGCCCTCGATCCCCTCATGTTTTGCATTGTATTGGTATTGTTCTGTCACATGTTCTGTCCCCCTTTGTAATGTACAGCGCTGAGCGAACTATTGGCGCTTTATAAATATTGTATAATAATAATAATAATTATCTATGTGCAATAAGAGCATTTTGCAAATCCCATTTTAAAAATATGGGTTGTGGTCTATTATGTAATGAGATTACTATTAGGGGATCCTTATCCAAGAAGTCTAGGAATAAACTATTGTTACATTAATTTTTCTTATTCTACAGTGTCATAAGTAACAAAACGGAATATGTTGTATACATTGGGGTTGATTTACAAAAGGAAAACAGACTGTGCACTTTGAAAAGGGCAGTTGCACTCTGCAAGTGCAATTGCTCCGCAGCTTAGTAAATGAGCAGAAACTCTGATGACTTCCATAATCCAATCATGTGCAAGCAAAAATGCAGTTTTTTTTTTCCTTGCATTTGACTGGGTATTATTTGCAAAGTGAAGCTTTACCTCATTTACTAAGCTTTGGAGCAATTGCACTTGCAGAGTACAACTGGACTTTGCAAAGTGCACAGTCTATTTGCCTTTAGTAAATCAACCCAATTGGGTCTCCATCTTATCACAATCTGTACACTGTTCTATTTAAAAGCTTTGGTACAATAACTGATACATGAGCCTGACGTACT